CCCGCGTCCCCTGCATCGGCAGGCGGACTCTCAACCACTGCGCCACGAGGGAAGCCCTGGCAGGTGGATTCTTAACCACCGCGTCACCAGGGAAGTCCCCTGAGCCTTTCTCATGAGTCCATGCCTACGCAGAGTGCCCGTTCTCATTTTTTTCAAATCCTACCATTCCTTATTCAAATCACATCTTCTCTTTTGAAACCTTGTGAGTATTCTTGACTCTGAAGAGTAACTGTTGCCCAAGAACTTTTTCCCTGTAAACTAGAGCATTTGTTGTTACGAAAGAAAAACCTTATGTTTCTATTAGATGTCCCTTACTACTTTTTAGCATGTTTCAGCGGTATTTCTGCTTTAAAACACTAAAAAGCTAAGGCATTAAACAGGACCAGTTGTGTCAGCTTATATTGTTGTTGAGTTTTTCAATCCAGGATGAGAAGTAGAAATATTAAATGACAATACTGTTCTTTTTTACCGGTTCGTTAATTCAAGCTTCTCCCTTTGTTGAAGAGAGATTTAAACTCTTTGTACATAGAACATCTTTAGATATTCAGGCCAGAAATTTAGTTTCTATTACTCTAGTCCAAGCCACTTCTTACCTCACTATTTACAGTAGCCTCTTAAGCAATTTCTTAATTTCTGTTTCTGTTGTCCACTTTCCTTCGCCTCAGTCTGTTTTTTACACATCGGCCAGAATGAGTTCTTTAAAAAGTGAAATAAATCATATCAGCCCTGTCTTCAGACCCTCTAAAGGTCTTCCATTTCATTCATAGGAGAAGTTGAAATCCTCACCATGGCTTTATAGAGTGATCAGTGTGCCCTAGGGTAGTTACAGTTTATTTTTTGTCTCAGCATATTTATTAATAGCTCCCCCTTTCCCTCTGTATAATTTAATGTTGAGAGCATCCTGGTTTGAATGACAAAGTACTTGGTCATCCTGTTTGTTAGACACCTGATATTACTCTGCCTTTTGCTAATTTCATTGCAGCCCAAAGGGTTTCTTCTGTTCTTTTGACATGTTGAACTTTCTCTCACCTCAGGGCCTTTGCGCCCATGTTCCCTCTACCTGAAGCAGTCTTCTCGGAGCTGGCTGATGAGCTGATTTCCTTACTTCATTTCATCTTTGCTTAAATGTGATTTTATATGAAAAGCTTTTCCTGCCTATTCGATACAAAAGATGACCACCTCGTTTCGTTCTACATTTTTACCCTTCTTTATTCCCTGACCTATCTTTATTTACTGCCTACGTGTCTGTGTAGGCCTCGTTCCGGAGTATAAGCTCCCTGAGGTTAAGGACTGTACTTGCTGCTCAGTCTCCCCAGTTCCTAGAGCAGCGCAGTAGGCACCCAGTAAATGGTGTTACTAGACAACTAGTAAAATGAAATTACGTGCTGGGAGAAATAATTTGTTATAATAGCTCAAAGTGAGTGATAAAATATCATTTGATAAAAACTTGTATGGAATGAGTTTTATCTTTTCCCTCTGTTTCTTTTCAGAAATATTTAATTGTGAAAGTACTCTATTTAGCTGTGGTTGATACTAGGTCCACAATATGTCCTTTCTTTGAATATAATGTTGATATAAGCTGAATAGTTTTAAACGTTAACAAGATAATCATTTGAAAATTAACTCAGTTTGTAAATTACATCATCTGAATTAATGTGCTTTTGAACTTACTCTTCTCATAATTTGATTAAATACCTCATTCTTTAAAGTGACTTAAAATTTTTAAGAGAGCTTTACTGAGGTTTAATTTACACACCATACCATAAGTTTACCCATTTAAGTGTGCTGGTTAATGACTTTCAGTAAATTTAAAGTTGTGCAGCTGTCACAATCCAGTTTAGAATGTTTCCATCACTTTTAAAGTGGCTGTTAACAAAATTCATACCTTTCTTGCCCGTTGTTTTCCCTCAAATGTTTTACGTCCTCTATATATGCCATCCCCATCCTGGCTGCAGACACAATACACAAGTTAGTTTTGTGACCCAGTGGAGGCTACAGGTGTTTTTCCTTCTCTGTACACCTACAGAAAGTAAATAAAGTTCTCTAAAATGATTTATGCAGGTTAATTTTTTCCTCCCAAATAAATTATGTACTACTTGAATAGAGAACTGTCTTAACTGTTTTGATTACACTGACAAGGCACATTGTGGGCATTTAAACTTATTTCAATGGTCATAACCTTTCCAAGTCAGCAAGTTAGTAACTTTATCCTAAACAATATTCTTTATCATGTGTCTCCTTTCTGTCCATGTTCATCAGGGTACATACTTTGTTTCTAAAGTGTACTAAAAAATCTTAGAAGTTTAAATGAAATTGTCCTTAAGGCATCTAGATAATACAATCCCTGGCATGTAGTAGTGTTACGGATTGTTTCCTTCGTAAAAAATATTCCTGATGTAAATTTATACAACACTGATTGACTTCTGAGAACTAATGTTTAATTTTTATTTCAAAATTCTAGTATGTAGTTATTAATATACCAGCAATTCATTTTAGCATAGATTTAGCTGATTTGAAATAGTATTGGCATTAAATAAGGCTACTGAGGGATAGTTTCTCTTTAAAGAGGAGGCTTTAGTAAGTGCCAACAAAGCTAAAAACTAACTATCTTTTGTAGATCCAGGTCCAGAGAGCATCGCAGACATAGGTCTCGCTCCATGTCACGGGAACGGAAAAGGAGAACTCGATCCAAATCCCGGGAGAAACGCCATCGCCACAGGTCACGCTCCAGCAGCCGTAGTCGCAGCCGCAGCCACCAGAGAAGTGGGCACAGTTCTAGAGACAGGAGCAGAGAGCGATCCAGGAGGAGGTACTGAGGTCCATAGGAGGATATGGAACTACCTTTACAGTTTAGACTTGGAATACTAGTGGTTTGAACTTGGCATCTGCTAATTTGTACACATTTGTGTGTGAGTGTATAACATTTTTTTTCCTGAATATATGGGTAGTTCAGAAAGAATATACTTATGAGCAAGAGTAAGAAATTGGAACCAATATGTGCAGAGGTTATTGCTTTTCTCTGCTTAGTGTGTCTTGGGAAAAAGTACTTTATGGGCAAATCATTTTAGGTACCAATACTGTTAGAGCTTTCCCAGTATGTATTGGTGAATTAGGGACTCTGAGAAGTCCTTTCATTAACAGTTGTCTGACTTACTGTTTTCTGAACTTCTTTGAGCTGGTGTACTTTTTCAGAGCAGACACATTCAGTATATTCTTGTTTATTCTGCACTATAGATATGCATTGTTATATACAGTTAGTTGGGCAGGGCAGGGCAGGTTCAGAATTTTAAAGGAAGTTAGACGTCATTGGCGTGAAAATTCAAAACATGCAAGGAGAACAGACCCAGGGTGAGGTATGTTTTAAGGACTTGAATATCTAATCAGGACAAAGGATTAGAATGTGGTGGAGCCTTAAGCACTCATGGTCTGTATAGACCAAGCTCCCCAAACTTCTCAGGTCCCATTATGGCCCTTAAGCCAGGTCATTTCTATGGAACAGAAACATTTTTTGAGTGCCTAGTATCTACTAATCTTAAGTTTTCTGTGGCTTACTCCACATAAAGTCCGTGATAAATTTTTAACAGCTTTCTGCAGGTTCTCCACCCCCCCCACCCCCCCACCCCCCCACCTAGCCATTCCCCGAAACTGCTCACAAACTGCGTTGGATAGAAGAGGCTCTTTTATTTATTCCTTATATTCTTGCCTTGTTCCAAGTAGGTTCCCTCCCCCACCCCCCAGCTTTACTGAGGCATAATTGACAAAGTTGTAAGACATGTAAAGTGAGCATTGTGGTAATTTGCTCTACATGTACATTGTGAAAGGATTCCTTCCATCTAGTTAACACCTCCATCACCTCACATATATTTTTATTGTTTTTGGTGAGAACATTTGAGTTCCACTCTTAGAAGACCAAGTAGTTCTTCAGGTGACTTTAAATCAGTAATAACTGTATACTTTCTACTGTATTAAAAGAAATAAGTATAATGTAGTTGAGCAGCTTTATTCAAGTGAGTTAGGACACAGGACTAATAACATCTTTGACAATAATGAGCACTGACAAAGTGCTAAACTGGGTATCAGAGTAAATAATACAGGAGCTTAGATGAGGGAAGTACCAGAGTAACCAAAAAAAAAAAAAAAAAAAAAAAAAAGGCTTCAGGGAATAGCCTAAAACCTAGAGTGGGTATAATCCGATTGGTGAAACCAGGTAGGAAAAATATTCTGGGTATTATAGGCAAATGCAGAGAATGAGCAGGGAATTTATGAGGGCAGAGCTCCGCATGGTGTGATTCTAGGCCACTTATCTCATTCTTAAAACTAGGCACACAGTACAGTGTCCAGAAAAATACATTTAAAACAATTCTTCAGGAATCTTACCTGCACTGTAAATTTTAAGAATCCTTTTGCTGGTTGATAGGTCTAGATAATTTCTCTTGTCAGCTTGGCTACCTGTCATTTTTTCTGATGTCTCTGAACTCTTAAATGTCGTTTTTGGTGGTAGGGATGGAGAGATGGGCATGAAGTCTCCTCTTCTGGGACCTAGTCCCTAAGGTTTCCTCTGTTAATGAAGACATATAGGGAATTCTTCCACCATACCACCTGACACCCCTCATCTGGTATTTTCAGCATGTTGTTAATAAAGAGGATTATTTTTGTAAAATTATTTCTGTTCCCAAGAGCACTTCTAATCTTGATACTCAAATTATTTTCAAAGCAATATTTTGTTTTTTTGCCCAAAATTAGCAGACAATTGCTACTACCAACTACAGTTACTGTATAAAAGAGAATATCAAGTTATTGCTACATAGTAGTCGAGTTTAAATTTCAAGGTAAGCCCCAGTTAAAAAGGTCTTTTATAACTTGCCGTTCTCCTGCTCCAACTGTGAGATACTGGTCTCCAATATAAGTAGATTCATACTGGTCTCCAATATAAGTAGATTCTCCTTGTGACCTTTCCGGGTAAGGACCGTTTGCATTTTTCTGCTGCGTTCAGACACATACAGTGCAGACTTCAGAGTCAGACTACTTGGATGAAAGTGGCCTTGGCCAAATTATCTAATTACCCCTCCTGTCTCTCCTTATCTACTTAGTAGAAGGGTGCCTGCTTCATCAGGATCATTGGTAGTTGGAGTGAAATACTGAGAGAAAACTGCTTCTGTAGTAAGGACACTGTAATCTCTGGCAAAATACTAGTTGATACTTAACAGTTGGTTGTTATTTCTCTGGGACTTACCAGCAATGCATGTCCTTATTCTTAGGCATCATCTGAATCATCTCTCTTCATATTCCATTCCTACAAAGACGTGGATAGGAATGTGCACTGTATGATTTAACACATTATTTTTAAATTAAGCTTATTAAAACCTTAAGTAGAATGCCAGAAATTGACATTTAATCTTGCAACCTTTTTGGTTTAATCCTTTTTAACTGTATTTCTAAAACTGGGTAGTACTTTTTCCCCTGCCTTAGAAGTTGAAAGTATTACTTAATGAGACCTCAGATCCTAATTCTGAACGTGGGTTAAGCGAGAGAATTATGTAAAAGTACCATGTCACCTGTGAAGAACCAAATAAATGTGTTACTGATTTATTCTAGATGTTGAAGGTATAGAAGATTCCGTATTAATTCTGATCCCCTGATGTCCTCTGGGTTTCCTTTTGATTGAATCTCTGGTATGAGCTTCTTGACTTGGGTATGGGAATGGAAAGGTGGTATTAAACAGTTACAGTTAATCAAGGTTTATTACAGTGTGATCATCTTTCTCTGTCTTCTGATTTTTTTCTGTCGGTTGAATGAGCTAACTCCGCAGGAATAAAGCAGCGTTTTAAAATAATAAATGGTTGCTTAAAGCCATATCATTGAGTAGTTCTCTTACCTGAGTGTTGGCAGACTGTTGCCTGCAGGCCAAATGTGGCTCCACAGCCTGTTTTTATACAGCCAGGGAGCTATGGATGATGGTTTTTTATATTGTTAAGGGGTTGACAAAAAGAAAAGGAAGAGTATACCACACTCACATGACCTGCAACACCTAAACTATTCATCCCTCTGGGCAGACAGCAAAGAGAAAAGGGTTCCTGACCCCTGTCCTAAGCCACTGATTTCCCTCTGATTGGGAATCTACATTCTACTGTATATTCTTAAAATATTGGATAACATCTTTAAGGTATTGTCTATATATTATTTTTATATTAAATATGTTTGCTATGAACTGGAGAAGCTTTAGGGTTGCCTCTGAGATAATGTCCTGTAAATCATTTTGGCTTATGGTTTTTGACCCTTAGCTATTTGTCTTCATCCATCTCCTTGTTTTAGTACCCTTATCAAATACAGTAGTGCTCTTTTCTTGGATGCATTCTGTATATCTTCAGCTAATCAGTACCTTAATATTTATCCGATTCTTTCATTTGGATTTTGGGTTTCCCAACACATTTTGCTCCTCAAATTAATATTTTTCAGATCCTCAAAAGAGAGATTCAGAGAACAAGACTTAGCATCACGTGACAGAGACAGGAATTCAAGAGACAGATCACCTCGTGACAGAGATCGAAAAGATAAGAAGCGGTCCTATGAGAGCGCTAATGGCAGATCAGAAGACAGGAGGAGCTCTGAAGAGCGCGAAGCAGGGGAGATATAATTAGCTGTGTACATATCCTCAATCCTTAAGCTTCCTCTGGAGTTACATACTATTGTTTAGTTTACAGCTGTTCAGGGTGACACAGTGAGCAGTTCCAGACACCGATCCAGCTAGGCTAGGTGTATAGCATCTAACTTGATCTGAACTTGTTTTCTTTGATGAAGCCTAAAACTACATCCATAGTTTCTGGTGAACTTGTAATACACTTCTGAAAGTACAGTTTTATATAATAAGATGCTGATGTCTTTATTCTTTCTAGTAGGAGTGATAGTGAATGAATTGTGTTACTTGCCTTGGGATTTTCTGAACATTTGTAAAATGCTGTCTTCCTTTCTCGTCCAAAAAAACAGCAACTTTGGGAATTTCTTTTTAATCCTTCTTCCTTTGACTCTGTATCCCCTGACACCTCTACCCTCTACTTGTAAGAGAAAGGGGTGCAGGGAAGCAATATAACTTCTGTTCTAAGGTTCTATTCCCATTATTAATTACTAGCTGATTACAGTTCAGAACATTTATACTGGAATGTGTGCTGGAGAAATTTAAAAATACTGGGAGTTTTGTTTGTCTAACGGTGCCTATTTTAGAGTGGGAAGTTGAACAGCTGTTGCATTACATGCTTTGCTTTTTTATTGAAATTTTGAAATAAAACATGTCTTGATTTTTCTGTTCTATTGAATAGCTATGTTCAGGATGTTTTGAGATGGGGGTGGGGGGGCAGGGACTCTTTCATAAGCACTTCTTGTTTTATTTTGTGTGTGTGAAGTATAAAGATTACACCCTTATTGTAAGAAATAATAAAATGAAAATCACCACCACCATTAAACTGTAACTTGTCTAGTAAATTGTCACTAGAACTACTTGCTGTGGCCATTTCTATTCTGTTACTAATAGTGCCTTACTGTGCAAGGCACCAAAGGAAATAAATATATACTTACAGATTCAAGATGAATTGTTGCTCCACCTGGGCCCTTGCTGGCTATATTCCAGCTACTTCAGGACTGTCTGTAACAACCGCTGTAGAGAAGGACCAGACCTGCAGAAGAAATCGAGTTTGTTTTGTTTTTCTTCACATTGAGCAAATTGAAATAAAAACATGGTGTAACCAGTGTAATGAGACTAACGATTTCTGCATTGAAAAGCTATATATATACCCACTCGTGTTTCAACAGTAGTTGTTAAAACTTGAGATTCTTGAAAAACAAGAATATAATGAAATAAGGGTCTGTGAGTGAGTATAGTTAAGATCTTTTCAAGGACTATTTCTATCTTCAGTTCCGTAAGTTTAACAAATTGGATGTGACAGGAACGTAAGCCTCAGAAACTGAAACTAATCATTTTGAGTGACATCATATTTACATCTAAAGGGGACAAACGTCAAGTTCCCCGTTTACCAAGTTGTGCCTCATTAAATGAGGTTTTCCTGCCATATTTGGTTCCACACATTCAGTTCATACAAAGTTTTATCTGAGACCCAGCTGCATCAGTACCCATTTATTTTTGGTTGCTCAGAAATTGTTATCTATTTTGTTCCCAGTGGTCTGTGCTGTTCTCTTCAATCCTTAAAAGCACTTTAGACTTAGTACCTTAGGGTGTGGAATGAGGTCCAAAAGGTTAAGCTGGTAGATGCAAGGAGGGCTGCCTGGAACCTGACCCATCATAGTGATATATGTGGAGTTAAATACCACATATATCTAAGTGGCCACCAACAAACAGGTCAGCAATAGCCAGTGAAGGACATCATCATCATCCAGGGGCTGGGCCCCATGGCGGGTCACCTCACCTGCATGTCCTAAACTGACCCCATTTTTTTTTTTTTTTTTTTTTTTTTTTGTGGTATGTGGGCCTCTCACTGTTGTGGCCTCTCCCGTTGTGGAGCACAGGCTCCGGAC